GTCCCATTTCTCCCCATATGAGTCTGGGTCCCCAGAGACCCTCCCGGAACTGGAGTTCAGAGCAGCCGGGAGCTTGAGACTCCCTCCTGATTGAAAAAGACAACCTCGTCCCCAGTTGCCAGCCCTTTCCACGTGCGCCTCCGCACCTCTGCACTTTACTTCCACACCACACCTCCTCTGAGTCTCAGTGTGCTTCCCTCCCTCCTTCTAGTTGTAGAATTTCCACTCAGCCAGCCTTCCTGTGATTCTGGATGATGTCCGTTTTATCTTTTAGTTGAATTTTGAAGTAGTTGTGCGAGGCAGCAATTTTAGGTGTTTACCTCTGCTGCCATCTTGGTTTTCAGATTTATATTTTTGATATTTATTTTATATATATAAATGCCATTTAACAAAGAAAAATCAACCAAAAAAATGAGTTTGTGTGTCACCTCTGACACGCATGTCATAGGTTCGCCATCACTGTCCTAGTTCATAGATAGACGCTCAACCACCGAGCCATGCCGGCCGGGTTGCATGTTCCTTTTTTAAATTAATTTTTAAATTTTATTGGGGGTGACATTGGGCAACATGAGCATATGGGTTCCAGGTATGGAGTTCTAAGTTACAACATATGTATATAGCACCATGTGCCCACCGTCCAAAGTCAGATATTCTGTCACCTGTATGGTCCTTTTTCATAGCATCCTGCTTTATGTCTGTATGAACCTCTCTTAGCTGAAGGTATCAATTACTGTATTTTTGAGGTTTTCCTATGTTCCTTGCCATGTCTCTGTTTCTTTCTGATTCCTTTTCCTATTTGTTTTGGTCTTTGACTTTCATGTTAGAGGCTTTTAGTCTGTGTCTGCTGAATATTTAAGAATAAGTCATTGAAAGCTCTGTATGCATGGCTGGGTCTTGTGAGCTGATAAGACTTTAAGGATATTGGTGGCAGCCTAGTGATCTCTTTGGAAGACTCCTAAAAAGTCTTCTTTCTGAAAGTTTTGGGGTGTTTTTACTGTAGTTGATTTCTAATTCCATTCCACTGTGATCTGAGAAGATGCTTGATATGATTTCCATCTTCTTGAACGTGTAGAGACTTGTTTTGTGTCCTAACATGTGGTCTATTTTGTGAATGACCCATGTGCACTTGAGAGGAATGTATGTTCTGCAGCTTTGGGGTAAAATGTCCTATAAATGTCAATGAAATCCATCTGATCCAGTGTGTCCTTTAGAGTCACTGCTTCCTTGTTAATTTTTTGTCTGGAAGATCTATCCAGTGAAATCAGTGGGGTGTTAAAGTCCTCTACTATAACTGTATTGTCAATCGCTCCCTTAAAGTTCTCTAGAAGATTTTTTATATATTTAAGTGCTCCTATATTAGGTGCATATATGTTTACTAGGGTTATATTCTCTTGTTGGATCAATTCCTTTAGTATTATGTAGTGGCCTTTGTTGTCTCTTTTGATGGCTTCATTTTGAAGTCTATTTTATCGGATATGAGTATTGCTATTCCAAATTTTTTTTCTTTTCCATTTGCATGGAAAATTTTTTCCCATCCTTCACTCTCATCCCATGTGTGTCTTTTGTTCTGAGGTGGGTCTCTTGTAGACAGCATATAGTTGGGTCATTTTGTATCCATTCAGCTACCCTATGTCTTTTGATGGGAGCATTTCATCCATTTACATTGAAGGTTATTAATAGGTACTTATTTATTGTCGTTTTAATTCTGTATGCCTAGGTTTCTCTCTATTTCTTCTCATTATAGCAGTCCCTTTATCATTTCTTATATTGCTGGCTTGGTGGTGATATACTCCTTTAGCCTTTTTTTTTTTTTTTTTTTTTTTTTTTGGTCTGGGAAACTCTTTATTTGACCATCTATTTTGAATGATTGCCTTGCTGGATATAGTAATCTGGATCTCAGATCCTTGCTTTCCATTACCTTGAGTACTTCATGCCATTCCCTTCTGACCTGTAGAGTTTCTGATGAGAAATCAGGTGTCAGCCTTATGGGAGCTCCTTTGTAGGTAACAGTTTGCTTTTCTCTTGCTGCCTTTAAGATTCTCTCTTTTTCTTTAATTTTTGGCATTTTAATTATGATGTGTCTGGGCATGGGCCTGTTTGGGTTCTTCTTGCTTGGGGTTCTCTGTGCTTCCTGAACTTGTGTGACTTTTCCTTTACCAGGTTCAGGAAGTTTTTTGCTATTATTTCTTCAAACCCGTTCTCTGTCCCTTTCTGCCTCTTCCAGCACACCTGCTATTCGAATATTGTTATGTTTCACATTGTCCCACAGCTCCCTTAAGCTGTCCTCCTGTTTTTTAATTGTTTTTCTCTTTTTGGTTCTCTGATTGATTTTTTTTAACTCTGTCTAATAATTCACTGATTTGATCCTCAACTTCCCCTAATATGTTGTGTATTCCTTCCAATGTGTTCTTTATTTGTGCTATGTCATTCTTTATTTCTATTTTCATAGTTACTATATCTTTTCTCATGCTATTGAGCATCTTTACTATCATTGTTCTGAACTCTATATCAGATAAATTTCTTATCTCCATTTCATTTCTCTCTTCTTCTGGAGAATTCTCTTGTTCTTTCATTTGGGGGTTGTTTCTTTGTCTCCTCATTTTGGCTGCCTGTTTGGTTTTGTGACTCTGTATTAGGTAGATCTGCTATGCCTCTCAATCTCTGGTGCAGGACAGTGTCTAAAGCTGTTTCTGAGTAGATCAGGCAGAGACTCAAATCCTCCAGAGACCACCTCTGCCTACAGACTTGAATTGCCCTCAGGCAATCATCCACCAGTGTGGCAAGAGTTTGTTCAATGGGGTGGGGCAATTGCTTCTGCCTGGTGGCTAATTGTTATTCTCAGCCTCTTAATAGGTCTCAGAAACTCTGTACTGTGAGGCAAGGTTTTTTCCAGTAGAGTGGGTCAGCTGTCATCCCCCCAGGCAAAACCGCCTAGGTCAGTGGTTCTCAACCTTCTGGCCCTTAAATACAGTACCTCATGTTGTGACCCAACCATAAAATTATTTTCGTTGCTACTTCATAACTGTAATGTTGCTACTGTTATGAATCGTAATGTAAATATCTGATATGCAGGATGGTCTTAGGCGACACCTAAGGGTCGTTTGACTGCCAAAGGGGTCGTGACCCACAGGTTGAGAACCGCTGGCTTAGGTAGCAATTGTCCGTGTGAAGAAGATGACCTCTGCTGCATGAGGGAATGACTCAGCCTAGGAAATTGGGGTGTCTGCTTTCTGAGCTCTAACCCCAAAGTCCCCTGATCCTGGCTTCTGCTTACACAGCTCCAGTCCACTTTGCCTTCCCTCTGCTGGAGCACAAGGTGGGTGGCTTGATGCAATTTTGTGCGTTGGCCCTTTAAGAGGGTGCCTGAATTCCCAGCCATCTCTCCCTGGCCAACCCCACTTTTCACAGCCAGAGGTTATGTGGGTACCCTTCTCAGTTCTAGTGTTCTCTGCTGGGGGGCCAAACTTGGGGATTAGATTCCAGAGTTCTCACTGGCAATCCCCAACAGCTGAGATACCTCTCTGGAACTTCAATTGTCTGTGGGAGCCCGGCCAGCTGTTTCGCACCTCCACCCCTCTGACCTGTCTCTATGCTGTCTCCACTTTCCGTCCGTCCTCACTTATCAGGGTTCTCTCCAGTGAGTCTTCCATTGATTATCCAGGAAGTTTTTCTGTATTTTAGTTGTAATTCCAGTTTGTCCTGGGAGTGTGTCTATGCAGCATCCACGTACTCTGCTGCCATTTTTATTTATCTTTTTAAAAATACATATATTTTATTGATTTTTTA